CTCTGAATGTGACCCCTCAATCCGCATATGTAGCATATAGGTAATTCCATGTAGCATATTCCTAGGTGCATCTTTCCATACCTAGGGCATGAGGGGATTCCTCTGCTGCTGGAATCTACCACCATGATGACCTGGCTTATTGGAGCCCCTGTTACCCTAACTGGGCCTGAAACGGCTCCATTGTTGCTGCTGACTAGGCCCTGATGGCGGTGCACTAGCCGAAGACTGAGAAAAGGAATGTGATGGCCCTGACGACCCTCCTCTGAATGTTGACTTGCCACCACCTGAAGAACCACCAAAGTTGCCCATAGACCGGGCCTTATTACCCTCTCACTCTATTCTGTTCCTTAATTTGCGGGTCTCTGTGGCTTGAGCGAATGCCACCATCTTTCCATAGATCATATCAAAATTCAAGGCAGCTGTAGCAGCCTCATTAATTACCAAGAGACTAAGGCCCTGTAAAAATCGGCAAACTCTAGCCTCCATAGTGGGCAACATGTAAATGACATATTTAGATAGGTACGCAAATCTCATATGGTAATCCCACACACTCAGGCTACCTTGCCTCAAGTTCTCAAACTCAGTAGCACGGGCTGCCTTAGTCTCGGCAGGCAAGAAATTATCAATGAAGGCATCGGCAAACTCACCCCACCTCGCCGGAGAGCTCCCTTCTCCACGGGACTCCTCCTATAGTTCAAACCAAAAATATGCCACCTCTTTCAGGCGGTAGGAGGCCAATTCCACTGCCTCTGTTTCAGTAGCACACATAACTCTGAGAGTCTTGTGCATCTCATCAATAAAATCCTGGGGATCTTCCTCTGGGTTAGTACCCGTAAACACTAGAGGATCCAACTGGAGAAACATGTTCACCCTGGAACCAGTAGAATCCCCTGGCTGACTAGAAGAAGTGGGTGCAACATTTGACCTTTGGGTCTGGGAAGACACTATTTGAGCCAACATTTGTATGGCTTCGCTAAGATCAACATCAGAAACACCAGACTCAGAAGCTGGAACTGGAGGTGGAACCGGTATATCAGTTGGAGGGACCGTTGCACCCTTAGTAGGTGTAGGGACAGGTGCGGTCTGATCAGTTGTAGTAGAGTCAGGCAGTATAGTAGCTGGAGGAATATTCTCACTCCTCGGGTGTTCACCTGCATCATCAATTATAGGATCAAATGTCACTCCTGAGGTGACATTGGCTCTTTGGCCAGTTCTTGCCTTCTTCTTAGGCGCCATGTACTGAAAATTAGAGCAACTCAGGAGTTAAAGGAGGAACAATCTTACAACCAGCTTTATCGCACGATCAAGAACATGAAAGAAGGGTATTATTCCTAAATGTCCATGTAGCATCCTAATTATAGATGTGGTCGACAACACACTGATAATAAGGACTCTACTAGACACGGCTCCGAGACATCCTAGGACACTTTAAAACCTTAGGCTCTGATACCAAGTTTGTCACGCTCAAAAACCGAGGAGCGTGACCGGCGCTCAACCGAATGAACCCGACCGAGCAAGCCTGTTAGATTTCATTCTACCCAAACTCATCCATGAATAGAGGTAATACATATTAGCATTAATTAGACGAAAATGTGTTCATGTCTACAATACCAATTCATTTCCAATAGTTTCATCATTTTTAAAGTCTCAAATGGACAAGTTATACGTCCACAACATAACATAGTTTTTCTTTTCCCAGCACCAATACACAACCCATATTATGTCTACGGAGCCTCTATAGATAAATAAGAGTACAATGACAATACCGGCAACAAGGCCCCTGCTATACCACAAACAGAATACACAAAGTACAAATAATTCATGATCCCGGAATGAAGTGGGGCTCACCAAGTCAGCTGGGAAGAAGGTTCACGGTTATCACTGACCAATATCTCCTGCAATGGAACCACCTGCATCCATTGAAAGATGCAGTGCCCCCGGCAAAAGGACGTTAGTATTGTCGAATAGTACTAGTATGTATAACTAAACACCCTCTCAATATAATGACAAATAATACAAATAAGATTATCATAATATCAATGAAAGCCTTAATCAACATCAAACCTCAATTTAGGATCAAGACAGTGTTCAAATTAATTTTCATATCTCACATTGGGAGATTTTTAGTATCGATATACCATTCTCCACAATACCATTATTCACAATACCAGTACCACCGTACTCTTAGCACGGAGTCTGATCACGACCCGATTGGCTAGGCCATCTCATTAGAGACATCAATCATAATTTCTCTCAATATCAATATCACCGTCTTTAACACGGAGTCCAATCACGACCCGATCGGCTAGGCCATCTCATTAGAGACATCAACCACAATTACCATTTCAATTATAATTTCCAGCACAATCACTACCATGTGTGCGGCATGGTATCCGATCACGACCCGATCGGCTAGGCCGTCTTATTTGAGACATCAACCTTTTTATATCAATCATCGCATTTCATAATACTTTCACATCTTTTCATTTCATTGGCACTAGTGGCCATAATTATAAGATCATTCTTGGCACGTTGGCCATATTCAGTATTTCATGCTCACATTATCAATTTCAAATATCATCCTCATCATCAACAATAAACACAATTCAAATCAAAGTGTGTAGTAGACATGTGAGCAATTTAGAGTCTAATGCACATAGAGATAATTCATAAAATTTGGCATAATAGCCTTCATTTAAACTTGACTTAAAGTCGAAATATTATTAATGCACAACCCATATTTTAACACATCCTCAATTGGTAACATAACATGAATAGAGCATTTTGGATGCTTGTTGAACATATATTTTTCAACCCAATCTTACTCGGAATAGCCAATTTCATAATGAATCACTCGGGACTTACATAATTTACATGAATATCGTGGAATTCAATTTTAAGAGAAGAGTTTAACCAACATACCTCACTTGAGCTTCCTTATACTCTAAATATTCTGGAATTCTTAGCAACTTTAATCTATTTTAGAAATATAATAAATTGAACCAAAATTGGGAAGATGATCATGGTTCTAGCTCATTTGAGCATTTTATCAAATACTAGATATGCATTAAGGTTTCAAGGTCCTTTCATGGACGATTCCATCATCCCACAACCCAACCTTTACCATTTTTAGCTCAACAATCTTTCTACACCCTTTGATAACACATGCATGTAAAATAACCAACCCTCTTGCCCAGAAATTATCTTGCTTATTATCCATTTCTACACAAAATTCGAAATTGAGGGTTAGGGTGTAGAATCTTACCTCTAGGATGAAGACCTAGTGAGTTTCCCTTCTCAATCTTCCAAAACTTGTGCAAGAATTGAAGAATAATTATTGGAGAGCACCTTCTCACTCTAGGGCACCCTCTCACACTCTAAAATATCAGATAATAGCTCAAAAATGATCCAAAGAATGTATTTAACGAAATAGGGTCGGGTTTTAAAAACCCAAAAATAGAGCTCCGGAACAGTTCTGCGGTCGCATATGCGACCGCATAATGGATATGCGGACCGCATATCGGTCGCATAATTGCTGATAAAATGATCAAAAAGGTTGTATGTGTATGCGGACACTATGCGGTCCGCATAACTGTTATGTGATCGCATAATGCACCGCATAACATTTATGCGGTCGCATAGTCGACCGCATAGTTGCTTCCAACTGACCCAATTAACTGTCTCACTCTGCGGCCATTATGCGGTCCGCAGAGTGATTCTGCAGTCGCATAATGGACAGCAGAAATGCGCTTTTTCGCCAAAAATTTTCTTTTACTTTCCTATGCATTGTTCAAATCATAAGCTTAGTCCGGCACCATAAAACATTATTTTCTTTGCAAATTTTACCGGGCTTTACACTTAAGTTCTTCAAAATTTTCCGGGGTGTTACAGTACTAATGCAGAACCATAAAGCAATTGCTTTCATCAGTCAAGGGCTTAGTCCAAGACATTTGGGTCGCTCAACATATGAAAAAGAGTTGTTAGCCATGTTGCTAGCAGTCGAGAAATGTAGGCATTATCTCCAACCCAATCATTTTATCATTAGGACGGACCATTTCAGCTTGAAGTTTCTAAAGGATCAACGAATAACCTCAGCACTACAGCATAAAGGGATTTCCAAACTAATGGGCTTGAGTTATGAGATCCATTACAGGAAATGTGCAGATAATGTTGTGGCTGATGCCCTGTCGAGAAAATAAGAGTTTATGGAGGAATGGAATGGTCTTACTATAGTTCAACCCAAATAGGTACAAGAGGTGCTGGAAAGTTACTGTGAAGATGTTGAAGCCCAAGACATCATTAAATAACTAAGTTTGGATGCAAGCGTAATTCCAAATATAACATTGAAAAAAGGGATCATTAGGTTCAATGGTTTAATTTGGGTGGGCAGCAACAAAGGATTGAGAAAGTCCATCATTGAGCAATTGCACGCTATACCATGGGGAGGGCATTCTGGTATTATAGCAACACAAAAAAGAGTAAAGCTCATTTTCGTTTGGCCTACTCTAGGGAAGGACGTGAAGGAAGTGGTGAAAATTTATATGACATGCCAAAGAAACAAAAGGGAGCATGTGCCTTATCTAGGGCTTTTACAGCCACTACCAATACCCTCGAAGGCTTGGGAACACCTCACCATGGATTTCATCTAAGGCCTACCTAAGTCACACGGGAAGGACTCAATCATAGTGGTCATATACAGGTACACCAAGTATGCTCATCTATTTTCCCTGACACATCCTTATGATGTAACACAAATAGCTCAGTTGTTCCTAGACAACATATTGCATGGGATTCCAAGCTCTGTCCTTTCAGATAGAGATCCCATCTTTACTAGCTTGTTTTGGAAGGAGCTTCTCAAGGGGATACAAGTGGAACAACGTTTGAGCTCGGCATATCACCCACAAACCGATGGCCAATCAGAGAGATTAAATCAATGTGTGAAAATATATTTGAGATGCATGACAGGCCACAAATCACGTGATTAGAGTAAGTGGATTCCTATGGCAGAATTTTGGTACAACACGAACTACCAGTCAGCAATAGGAATGACACCATTCAAGGCTCTTTACGGCTTCGACCATCCTCAGCCCTCTTTTGAGCTAGTGGCACAGACACGATTGGAGTCAGTAGATCAAATCTTGAGAGAAAGACAGTTACTCAACAAGATTCTCAAGGACAATCTGACCAATGCACAAAATAGGATAAAGCATTACGCTGATTCCAAGAGAAGTGATAGAAAATTCAAAGTTGGAGATATTGGTGTTTTTGAAATTACAACCCTATCGTCAAACATCAGTGGCAATCCGCCGGAATTTGAAGTTGGCAGCTAAATTCTATGGGGCTTTTGAAGTGCTCCGCAAAATTGGCAAGGTCGCTTATGTGCTCAAGCTTCCATTGGGATCAAAAATTCACCCCGTTTTCCATGTATCTCAGTTAAAGAAGGCAGTGGGAAATCATGTGCAACCATCGAAGGAGCCACCAATTTGCACTGATGATGGTCAAGTCTTGACTGAACCAGTAGCCATCTTAGGTCGCCGAATTATGAAGAAGGGCAACAAAGGTGCTACCCAAGTCCTAGCTCAGTGGGAAAATCTTTCCAAGGATGAGGCTACATAGGAAGATTACACTTTCCTCATATCCCAGTTTCCAAATTTTGATCAGTAATGTAGAAGAAAGGACAGAAGGGGGATGGAATGTCACGAATTTAGTCGTGACTATCTTCTTAGGACCTAATTACATAATATTAGATAGTATAGAAGAGTGACACTTTTAGTCCCTAAGTTAGATAATTACTATTTTCAGTCCTAGGAACAGATAACTAGTAAATCAAGGACATGTGACCATTAATACTATTAGTGGTTATCTTTTGGGTCCAATCGACAGCTATCCTCTATGCCATTTTCCTATAATTGTAGTCTGTCATTGATAGAGAAGGCATTCAATATTGAAAAATCTAAGTTATTTCTTATTTATTTTTTTTATTGCTCTTTGAGCTCTCTTCGATCCAAACTCGTAGTTAACGCTACACACTTCCTCATAAATTTATCTTGAATCGGATATCTTTTGGGCGTATAGTAGAAAGCCGAAAGCTCGGAGCAATTTCTTTTCAATATATGATAACCAAATTAAAGTAAATTGAGTTGGTTATGAATTTATACAAATTTAGAAGATTGTTAATGATGGATTATACAAACTTAACGCACAATATGGATAATGATTAAATTAAAAAGGCAACAACATGGCCTAATTATATAATGATAGCAAATTAAATTTGAGGTATCAAAATTTTCATAATTCCCCGACACTGTCTTGTTGAGGTTGCAATAATGCAACCATTGGACAGCGAGAGCTAGCAAGAAAGGAGAGAGTCACGTGAAACCCATAAAGAATACTGTTATCTCTATCTATCTATCTGGAAATGTGAGTGACCACTAAGGAAAGGATTAACGAATCTATATGATCACCAAAAGATTAAGAAAAAAAAAATTGTACATTGAGTGAGTGTTGGTAATTAATGATTTTTTTGAAAGGTAAACAAGACGCCAAAGAGATTCAACACAATATTATTTTCCTCCGTCTGCCCCCCTTTGCTCCGCCCATGACTATAATTATAGACGAACTGGATTGGTTACAACAACTCCATTAGTATGAGTTCGTTGACCACGTAAGGTTCAGGTGTGAAGAATCCACGAGGTGACTGTAATTAGCAGAAATCTCACTCGGGGGCTTAAACGACAAGTTCACCATAACTATAAATTGAAATTAATAGTTCGATGTGTGTTCGTTCTCCCCTCTTCAATTTTCACTGAACAACATAAATTTATTATATCATTTATTCAATTTGATCGATTTGATACTCAAGTTAATTCTTTTATCTTTATGCTTCCACTAATACCTAATTGATAACAAATCTGAATGGATATTTTAGGTCCAACTAATCCATCAAATTTTGTTGAGTCAATTCTAACTTGTTCAGGGTGTAGGAAAAAACAAGCTTTTACATCTTAGTCTGTTATTACCTTATTGTTTAGTATGTACTTCCAAGTCTGACACTGAAAGCATGTAAAAATATAGTAAATCAATTCCCCAATCTCTATGTTGTTTCCCCTTCTTTCTAGCCTTTTTATTTTATGGAGCTCTTAATGCCTATTCTGTAAAGAAAATAATATCCATATAACGAGGTAAAAGCATGATAATATTGATCAATAGATCTTTAAATGGAGATATGACACAGGTCCATGGGATCGTATTTAATATTGTAATTAAGATCATACTCTTGAGGATATTTTAAGAAAGAAAAACTAGTAATCTCTTAAGGCGAAAGTGAAGGTATTAACTATTTAGCACAAATTCTTATGAGATATCAGTTAGTAGCAATGACTTTGGAGTTTGGAATTGGGAGCTTGGATGCAGCCAATCCACATGCCAGTTATCTTTCTGCATCTCACAAGCTGATTGAGTTTAAGACATTAGACAAATATGTTCTAAGATATTTGAAGTTTAGAGAGTCAAATTCACCCCTTAATTAAGTGAGAGATACAGGATGTGGAAAAACCTTAAATTTAAGGATAGATAATAATATAATATAGACCAGAGGTAGTAATTTTGTAGAGTGAAAAAATGATGTAATTGTCCATATTTTGATGGTTGAGTGGCGAAGGAGAAGAGAGGTAGCATCCTTACTGACTAGGGAGGGGAATAGAATCCCAATGTGTGTGTCGTAATTTAGACATAAGTACTTGGAGTGTTAGCAAACCAAATGCATGCTCCCGGAGAGCTTCCCTGCTTCATATTTTCTTTCAGGAACAAGATTGTTCAGATGGGTATTTTTTGTGTAATGATAGAGAAATGGTGTAATGAACAATTCAAAGTATGGAAGATTTCACAATATGCAGAATGTAAACTGTCACAAAAGACAGTGTTGGCTTAAATATTATGGTTACAGATTCAAACATGAAGGGGATGACTCTAAAGCTTTATCTCCATTTGGGCAAATGTGACAGTCTTGGCCCTGCATTGAAGATTTCACTTTTCAGGTTGTCCAAGAACCCTTCAGAAGCTGATTAAAACTAAAAATTTACTTGTTATAACAACTAAAATTTAAAATAAATAAAAAGGCAGCGAGCTGCTACAAAAGGAAAGGAATGGCTACCATACCTACTTATCAAAGTTATCCTGTACTAATAGTTATTTTTGTACAATTCACTAATCTAAATATACCAAACTTGACTTGAAGCTGCTATTATACAGACCTAAACCAAAAGGCAGAATATCACTTCTTCCTCTTGGAAGTAGAGGTCCAATTTTTGGACTTCCTTTTGATGCTTGTGTTGCTTCTAGTCTTGCTACATTCTGGGCAAAACCAGTCTTCCTCTGGTACACATTCAAGGGGAGGATCGCAGCAATCTACGTGCATGCCAATGCCACATCCGTGAGAGCCACTTTCGTCACCACAGATCAGCATTACTTCCTCCCTGTCAGGTGACCCGCATACTTGGCATGCTAAATCATTCTTATTGTCATCCGATGGCACCATCTCCTCAACAATCTCGTCCAAGCGATTGACATGTTTTTTCAGCACCCTTTCTGCCCAAGCATGAGTGTTGTATTGTACATAATTGTTGAGGGGATAACCAGGTTTGCACACATACGTCACCAAGTAATCAGGCAACACACAAGGTATCTCATGCCTTAAGAATTCTTGAACCCACTTGTCACAACGTGGCATCACCTCACTAACAATGGCAAAGTCAACACCTGACTCAAGGAAGCGACTGTATGGAGGAGAAGTTGCTAATATAATGCCATCTCCAGCCTTGACTGCTCGCTTCAATGTATCCTGATTCAACAAAAAGAGAGCATCTTGAAACCAGCTGGAGATACAGACGAAGTGCAATCCGAGGAAATTTAACGTTCAAGAAATCACTTCCATGAAAAAAACTTTCCACCAAAAATGCTTCATCTTAAGAAATCATTTCCAGATCATTTTCCAATTTTTGGTCGGGTATAAAAGTATGCCACATTAAGATCATATAAGGTGTAGGATAAAAATATAGAAATAGTGTTTTGGTGGTAATTCGTTAGTACTAAAGATTGACATTAATGTCTACGTGTTGATTGAAACAAGTGATATAGAGTAAGAGTTATGCTTTCTAATAAAAAATGAAGGAGTTATGTTTTGTAAGGAAAAATGACTTGCGTCTATGAGGAAGTCATTCCCTCCTTTTGGTGGAATACACTATCTTTGAGGGGGGGGGGGGGGGGGGGGATCCCATAATGCAAGGAAACCAAACACTTGAAATGATTTCATCAAAGAATTTCCTGAAAATATTTTGTCATCATTAAAAACACAAAGTAAAAGGAGTTTCACGGCAGAGAGAGAATCTTGCAAATTGGCAACATAGGAACTCAATCTTCAAGAAAACTACACAACAAACACCAAATTACCATACCAATGGTGGTACAATGCAGTCTCCATATATGATTATCCTCATCCCATATAATGCGCCATGTCCAGTCCTCTCCCTCAGAAGTCTCCACTTTCTTGGGGCCTCTAAGTTGATAGCTAAGTCTTCAGTCAATCCCTTTCTGTGCCATTCATATGGCTCCTCATCTAAGAATTTTCCAGCCTCGACGCAAGCAGTTAAATAATCTGTCTTGAGGATCCACCTGTAAAAATCAGTAAATACTAAACAATGTGTTTACTTTTGAGAAAGGACATAACTTAGGGATGTAAAATTAGCCATACCTTCCAGAGGATGCAGCAGCAAAAAATTTCTCTGTTCTTCGCAATGGAGCAGGGACAATGAAATGTGTTGCCTGATATGACCACTGGTGAGAATCTCTGCACACTTTTCCTTTCAATCGCTTGATAACTTGCTGAAACTCCTTTCTTTGTAGCCGATGCCCACTAACTATAAACCACCTTGGCTCACTTTGTACTTTTGTAACCTGCAATGAGCGAAGTTTTTTGTCGTAAGGAGAACTTCTGTCAGCCCCATGTTTGTTATGACTCGCATTCTGGCCTCCAATATCAGGTATATTCTCCTTTTCCACATCCATGGATCTCTCAGACTGATGCTCTGTTGCAATTACTGTGGTTTTACCTGTTTCAGATGGAGGCCCTTTTCCCTTTTTTGCATTTGCCTTATCAGTTCTGCACTTCTTCTTTTCTGCACCTTCTGTAGAAACCGCAACTCTTTTAGTAGCTGGATTAGTTTTCTTGCTATTCTTCATCAGATGTTTTGGACCTTTGGAAACTTTCTCCTCTGAAGCCTCCACAGAAGTTGATTCACTTAACTTGGTCTTCTTGCCAGAAAGAGTCTTTGGAGTATCAGATGTGTTGTTTTCAATACTTTGTGTCTTTGCAACATCAGTATCCTTCCTATCATTCTGATTTACAAACTTATTCACATTTAATCTCTTCTCCATTGTTCGAAGCCTAGAATGCTGCACTTCAGTATCAGAAGACTTCTCTCTTAGAACATTTAACTCCTCATCTTCTTGATCCTTTGGAGCCTCAGTATCATCACTTATGGATTCAGTAGTTTTGGCAGTTTCTTTTTCAGACTCCAAAATTTTATTTCTCTCAATCTCTTTGCTCAAATCTGCCGGCAGAACCTCACCCTTTTCAGATGGAGACCCTTTTGCTTTTTTTGCATCTGCCTTCTTTCCATCTGTTCTGCACTTCTTCCCTTCTGCAACTTCTGTAGAAACCAGAGCTCTTTTAGTAGCAAGATTAGTTTTCTTGCTATTCTTCATCAGATAATATGGGCCACTGGGAACTTTCTCCACTGAAGCTTTCCCCACAGAAGTTGATTCACTTAACTTGGTCTTCTTGTCAGAAAGAATCTTTTGAGTTTCAGATTTGTTGTTTTCAGTACTTTGTCTCTTTGCAACATCAGTATCCTCCATATCATCCTGATTTACCACCTTGTTCACATTTAATTTCATCTCCATTGATCGAAGCCTAGAACGTTGCGCTTCAGTATCAGTAGACTTCTCTTTTAAAACATTTAACTCCTCATAGTCTTGGTCCTCAGGAGCCTCAGTATCATCATTTATGGATTCATTTGTTTTGGCAGTTTCTTTTTTAGAATCCAAAATTTTATTTCTCTCATTCTCTTTGCTTGAATCTGCATTATTTGCAGGGAGAACCTCACCGTTTGTAGAGCTTAAGATATTTTGATGCTCTGTCTCCTCTCTCCCTCCGCTGCTGGAAGCAGCTGAATCAGACATCAGAGCAGTCTTGTTAATGGATAAAGACCCTTTCTGATTCCTATCATCCCCTTTACGGAAACTTTGTCTAGATCCCAGTGTCTTCTTGGAAAGCGATCGTTTCTTCATTGGTTTAGACCCTGACACCGAATCATCTCCAGCCTTATTAAACTCAGCCAGTACATTAGACTTCAGGGTATCTCTTCTTTCATTAACAGGAGAAGGGACATCATGCAGTTCATCTAATGGCCCATTAACATCAGAGGTGGGTGTCTTCTTGGAAAGCGATCTTTTCCCCAATGGCTTAGACCCTGACATTGAATCATCTCCAGCCTTATCGAACGCCGCCAGCACATTAGACTTCAGGGTATCTCTTCTTTCAGTAACGGGAGATGGGACATCATATAGTTCATCCAATGGCCCGTTAACATCAACAGTGGCATGACTAATCCCTTTTGACTCCATGATCTTAAAAGTGCCACTTTGAGGTTCATCCTCATCACACCCTCGCTGAGTGCTTAGTGTCACAGGATTGGAAATAGTAGAATCATGATAAGTATGCAGAGTTACACCCTTGTCATAGTGAGGGGCAGTGTTCCTATATGATAGATAGTAGCCTATTTTGCGTGGACTATGTAACTTTGACGTGTGTACTAACTCTTCAGTACGATTTGCCGTCAAGTAACCATCTTGTATGCTTTCTGGATTATTACCAGTCCTTGATGACTGGAAGCTACTATCTGAAATGCCCAACTTCCTTTTCTCGGGCAGTCTACTGCTTTGACCCTTCCCAGGAAATGACAAGTTCTTAGAAGTTTTTGCACCTAACTCACTTTTCTCTTGTTCCCTCTCTGAGGGCAGGTTAAGGAAATCAAATTCTGTACCTGCTTCAGCAGTAGCAGGACTTCCTGCATAAGTCTTAATTTGTTCTGAGGTCATGAGAAGGTTGAATTTCCTTGGGATTTCTTGGGACGAACAAGAATGAGGGGATTTCCTGGCACTACTTGAAACAAAAACAAAATCACTTCCATTTTGTTCAATTCTAGATGGCAGCTCTTCCTTTGTCCTACACAAGTTGGTATTAAGCATCTTAGCGTGCCTATTGGGAGATTCTTCAAAGGCTGGAACCTGATGAGATTTTGACTGCTTCGAAGCAGATAACGACAGCTCCTTAGTGTTTCCAAGACCTGACAAACCTCTAAATGTGCTTAAGTCTAAAATGTTTGTAGAGGCTTCCTGCTTCACAAGGAATTGATTGGGACTTTTTGAATGATCAGGACGCATGATAGCTATTTTCTCTCCGCGCCTATTTGCAGCAATGCCCTCATTTTCTTCTTCAGAATCTTTAGCCTCGGCTTCCATCATCATCAACTCATACCCACTTGAGGCCAGAAAAAGAAGTGCATACATGAGACACTATTATTTGCTAGTTAATTTGTTCGACAAGAAAACCCCCATTGAGGGGTAAAGTATATGCATATTATGCCTGAGCTAATGAAATTAACTCTTACTTATTAGGTAGTGAACAAACACACTATACTTTTTATTTTGAAAGATGATGTCTACACAGTGCTTTGAGTTTGAGCTTGAAATTCATCTTTTGTCTAGCACAGAAGCTACCACAAATCTGAAAAATAAAATAACTTAAGCAAGCCGAAATATGCATGCATTATGTAATTTATACACAACATGAAGAGTGAAGTTCTGCTCATCTTTTGTTGCTTGACAAGGTCGCTTGAAAATGGTTCCCTATAATACTGACAACTTCAATACACACACTCAAATTTTTAAAACAGGACTTCATAATATCTCAATACAACTTCAAATGTTTCAAATTCTGCAATGTAAAGGCAATCTATTAGGAATTGTATAACCAGTCACTACCAGCACAAACGAAAATATCCTCCTGTAGAAAGGAAAAGCTACTTCACATTCACATAAAAAAGCGGGGAAATGGCAATGACGCACCTCTTATCATAATCATCCTCTGGAAGGATTTCCCAAGACCTTAAACTGCATAATAAAGCATGAAATAAAAATATGCATTTTAGCAGCTTAAAAGTAGGCAATCAGTAATTTCTGAAAAAATAAAGTTCGTGCATACCAATCCTCCAACCAGTGGTGATTAACAAACTTTATCGTCTTCATTTTCTTGGCAAGCTCATATTTATCCCCTATCAAATGTGATAAGCTCAATTAGGATATATACACAGTTGTAAATGCGCACCATAGTAGGCATGGCAAAAGTGAAAATCAAATGGAATTTGTTAGTGGCTTTCTTCCTTATCCTCATTTGATAAATAAAGAGAATTTAAGACATAACTAGTATCACAGGAATTTATCACTAGTCAAGGTAGTTGGCAGTGTGCGAGAACATATCACATAGTAAACCAACAAAAGAAAAGAAAGATGATACTATGAAAAGTTAGCTCAGACACTATTGTAGCACATCCCTCTTTTTCCTTTACTCTTTCCATCTCATATAATGAGATGGTGTTTGACTTGATAGGAAATATAATGTCATTTAATTTATCAATTATATTAGCGGAGGAGGAAGATAATATATTGATAGAGGTCTATGCACAGATTGCAAGGTTATCCCGGGTGAGAACCTCACAATGCAACATAGGCTATTGGTTATGGACTTAGAGGTCGTTTGGCAGAGTGCAGTAGAAAAAATAATGCATGCATTAGCTTTGTGTATTAGTAATATCTTGTTTGGTACACTTTTTCAACCTATGTATAACTAATACAAGCATTAGTTACACACCCTATTTGGTATTATCCTATGTATACCTAATACATGGCAAACCATGGTATTTGCAATACAAAGGTTATTAATACATGCATAAGCTTAGTTAAAGATAAAATTGCCCCTTCAAATTTTATGCTTGATTAAAATTCTTTTTACCTGTTTTTCATAAACGTAAATAAGATACAGGTTGAAAAATTTGCATGTTCTAATTTTTTTCACCCAATTTTCTAATATTAAATTCTTTCAATTAATCATCTCTTATATTAAAATATCATATTAAACAAAACAAAAATGCTAAAAGACCGCAATTCCTTTTCTGGAAATTAAAGTACTTTTCTCTACAATCGTGGGATTCTTCCTCTTCCTATCCTATGAGGCCAATTGCTCCATGGACACACCGTCTTGGATCAGCAATTGCACAAACTGTATAAACCAAATTAATGTATCCCTAAATAGTGTCACACAAATAGGAAAAGAGGGAATATTCAATTTCCTTCTCATTATTCTCTCAAATTGTTAAATAGGAAATAGTAGTTTCACATTTATAATGAATCTCTATTATTCTTAAATCACAGTATATTGATTAAAAGTTGTATATTTGTACTACTTTAAGGGCTTTCTTCTTCTTTTTTTTCTTTAAATGCTAAATAAGGTAACAGCAACATTCATTTTGCAAATGCAGATCATATTCCTTGATTACATGCTATGGTACCCTGACCATCAGTTTGCTTTGACTACCCGCATCAGATACATAATCATGACCTACATTTCTCCCAAGGTCAAGCCTTCTAGGTAGCATTACTCTGACAACATAATAATAGATTTCATTACTGGCATCAAGAAGATGCATAAACTTACAAAAGGTAGGTAAGCAAAAACAATGTTAGCAGCATTACATCAAAAACTATACCAGAACCAGTGAGCTAACAAAGTTAAAAAAAGAATCAGGGGAATCTACAGGAAGTGTTGTTCCAACTACATAGACACATTAAACTCAACTGTAGGCAACATTAAAAGTATATTCAATTGTAAATTGAGGCAAAAGAGAGTATGGGGAAGAAAAAATAAGCCTGCAACAATACATCGTACCAAATCATGAACATAGAGGAAATTTGTGCAAAACCATCTGAAACCCCCATTCACCCTCTCTAGGATTATGCATCGAACAAAGACAAGAAATAATGAGAGATGAATTACAACCAGCAACATGTTGCAACTGCAAAGAGACATACTTACCCTCAAATTTGTAGCATATGAGATGAGTGACTTTGTTTGCCACCAATGGCTTTGAAAAGTTTGCACCCATCAGGCCCACCATTTTCTAGAAGAAGAGAGAACCAAATATGACATGACAAGCAACAGTTTAGATTCTCCTTTCCAGAATATATATTTCCCTCAAAAATAAAAGACTTAATGAATAACAGTACTGCATTCTACGAACCATAATATCATCTCGATCTTGCCCCTGATATCCAGTTAAGCAAACCACCAGTGATTTAGCACCTGAAATTCCATTCAAATCCCTTGGAGGTCTGTACATGATCTGAAAGAGAAGTTGTGGTTTTTTTACGTTTTGGTTCAAGGGAAAACTCAATTATATTTAATGGGCCTAAGAAAAGTTGACACCAAAGACACTGATGCAATAACTATGAAGGTTTGAGTAGATAGAATTTTTAAGGGAGCAAGGGAACAGATAGAAACCAATATATATTCATATGGCCACCAAAAACCCAAAATCACAAGCATAAAACTTTATAGAACTCCCTACGCAATATGAGATGTAAAAGAAATACTTGCTCCTGAACTCATTGCATAATTGATTGGGCTAATAGCACTACTACAAAGCAAAAACCTGCAAACTGAATAGCATTTATACAACAGAACTCATGAACACAACTTCAAAAGATCCATTCATGCACCAAAGTGGTATTAGAATTTAAAAGAAAGCAATTCGCAAAGAGAATTTCATATCCACTCTATCATAAAGTAAAATGTTCATTTTGTGGGAGAAATTAGCCATTATCGTATAAGCAACATACAGCTGATAAACAAATGAATTCAACTGAGCATGCATGTGCATGAGCAAACTGTATTTTCCAACAGATAAAAACTTAATTCTCAAAGGAACTCACAGAATGGTGATCGAAAGGCATTCCCACGTCATAACTGTGCTCAACCCACAAGCTGGTAACAATTATTTTCCCATCCTGTCGAGCAGCTAAACATATGGGGTCATCCTGCTTCCAGAAAACATTAAGTTATACACCTAGTTCTACTTGTTAAGAATGCTGTTTGAGTAAGGTACAAAATAAGACCAGTAACAAAGCAACAAGAAACTGCAAAAAAGGTGCCCTAAAAACCAAATAAGGACAATTTTGTTAAAAAATGACTACATGGTCATACTCACATAGACAATACTATCGACAATAAGATGGGTGCAATCTGGTCCATATCCGCTTACATCAACTCCACCACCCTCCAAAAGCTTCAACCGAATCTAGAAAAGGAAAAAGGACAAAAATTTAACATAGAACTTAGAACAAAGAGAAGAATAATAACAATTACAACTATAACATAACTACAACTTACAACAACAAGCATACCCAGTGTAGTCCCACAAGTGGGGTCCAATATAACATAACTACAACTTGAACTTGGAAAATGCAAATAGATCAGTCAACTACCCCTTAACCGTGAGCTAGTTTGGGTCGACAATAAGAATCCTCTATATCCATCTCACTGTTCAAAAGATAGTCAAACTATTTTTAATATTGTACCGCATCCTTATCTTTTATCTAAGCTTGAGACCGACTATACTTTGCTATGCTCGGATGAGCAAAATTTACTTGGAAATGATAAATCAATCACCTACCCCTCAATCCCAAGCTGATATGGGTCAACAATACGAATCCTCTATATCCATCTCATTATTCAAAAGACTATCAAACTATTTTTAACATTGTACCTCGTCTTCACCTTTTATCTAGACTTGAGACCGACTATACTTTGCTAAGCTCACATGAGCAAAATTTACTTGGAAAATGCAAATAAACCAATCAACTACCCATTACTCCAAAGCTAGTTTGGATCAACAATACAAAAACCTCTATATCCATGTCACTGTTCAAAAGATCATCAAAATATGTTTAACATTGTACCCCATCCTCATCTTTTATCTAGCTTTGCAACCTATTATACTTTGTTAAGCTCACATGAGCAAAATTAACTTGGAAAATGCAAATAAATCAATCAACTATGTCTCAACTCCAAACTACTAGTTAAGATCTATAATATGAACTCTTTATACATTTCCCGAGAAAATGACAAAAATGATTCCTTATGTTCGGAAGTAAGTTCAAAGTAGTCTCTTAAATATATTCATAAGCAATTCTAGTCTTCTATGTTTGCCAAAAGTGAGCACATTTGGTTTATCTAATAAATTTTGTCTATTATCACACAATTTTTACACTGACCATTATTCTACTGCATCCTCATAATTTATCCGGGCTCGAGACCGACTATATTCAGTAAAACTCAAATAGGTAGAATTAACTTGAAAAATGCAAATTTGGCGGAAAATTAATAAAACTAAAAATTAAACATAGATTATCTAACTATTTTTAATATTTTACCTACTCATCCTTTATCTAGGCTTGAGAGCGACTATACTTTGCTAAGCTCACATGAGCAAAATTAACTTGGCAAATGCAATTAAATCAATCAACAACGCCTCACATCCAAAACAGTTAAGACCCACAATATGAATCTTCTATATCCATTTTCCTAGAAAATGACAAAAATGATCCCTTATGTTCGGAAGTAAGCGCAAAGTAGTCCCTTAAATATATTCCTGGGCAGTTATGGCCTTCTATGTTTGTCAAAAGTAAGCACTTTTAGTTTCCATCAAATATTTAACAAACTTTGTCTATTATCAGACTATTTTTCACACTGTCCGGGCTCGAGACCGACTATGTTTAGTAAAACTCAAATAGGAAGAAATAATTTGGAAAATGCAAATTTGGCGGAAAATTATAAAATCAAAATTAAACATAGCGTACCTTCCCTTTTCTAAGGGGGTCGAATCCGACAAGAACAAATCGAACACCAATGAAAATCTTGGAGCGGTCTTCGTATAACATATCTTGGTTGCCTTCAGTCATCAAACCTGTCTCTCTCTCCTAATGAATCTTCTAGAATTTTTCAAATGAAAGGAGTTCAAATGTGATGATTTTATAAGAACCCTAGAAATGTGGAAGTGTGCTGAAAAAGCTAATTGTAGAAGAAGAGAGAGCGAAGAGTTTATTGAATTGTACAAAGCTTCTCAGGGAAGGAGTCGAAGTCGTCAAATTATTTGGAGGGATTTTGTGTTTTCAATTTTTTTTATTGTGGTTGCAGTGGCGGGATAGTACTTATTGTTGGGCTGGGCCTCAAACCGTAATGGGGGATACAGTTTACATATGGGCTGAAAGCCCATGTTTATTCTTTACCATCGTTGGACGTGAATTTTTCGTCGGAGGAATAACACAAATAGGATACTTTTGTTCACTATTAGTTTTTTGGAATTTTTCCTTCCTATACAATATTTGAAATTTATTTACCAAAATTATTCTAATTTTATATATTACCCGCCCTAACTAAGATTTAGTTATAATTTATATACAATTCAGTATTAGTGCCTTAAATTAGGAGATTCGGTTACTCTCTTTTTCTTTTTTCTCTCCTCTCCTCTTGACCTATTCTCTGTTGTCTCTCTGCACTCAAAACTCCCTTAATTGAGTGCCAAATTATGTGGGTAGTGAAGCCACGCTACATATTTTACGGAAAATAGGAGTTACTGGTCAATTTTATGTATGATGTAAACATTAATACCTTGAAATTGAAGAACACATAGACGTCCAAAAGCAACGGCAATCAGGAGTGACCCATTTTTTTCCTTGATTATACTACTGACCGCTTCTTCTTTTGCAAGTCCAAAAGTATTAATTATTTTTCTACTAGTATTTGTAGTTATTCCTTTACGAAAGAACATCCACATTGAGCACTAACCATTTGATAATGAGATTCAAGGCATTATTTGTTTGATTCACAACATCTGCCTGATTCCCAAATATTTTTCCTTATACTTTCACACTTTTTTTCTAACGAGAATTTATTTTCAAAATATATGGAATCTTGCAAATAGCTACAGGTTCAAGGTAAGTTATTTGTAAATAAAACTCATGTATCAAATTATACTCATGTATCGACATCTACTAGGAACTTCTGAACTAACTCCATGTCACGACCCAAATCTCCCTCTGTAGGATGTCGTGATGGAACCTAGTCTTAGGGCTAGGTAAGCCTAACATTTACTGAAAAAAATAATAATATTAATTAACGACTAACAAATGCGATGTAGAATTCTCTATACAATACTTATAATCCCAAAATCGGTACTACAAGTCATAAGCTCTACTGAGTTACTAGAAAGCCTACAAATACAACTGTTTTGAAGTAGAGATAAAACAATGCAAGTACATTATCAGAAGGTGACTCTGAAGCCTGCGAACGCAGAAACAGGTTTACCTTGAGTCTCCACAACAAGATCCGTACAGCTAGCTAGCGGTCACCTAACTCCAAATTTACTTGGCTCTGCACAAAAAAATACAGAAGTGTAGTGTGAGTACACCACAGTCGGTACCCAGTAAGTATCAAGACCTACCTCGGTGGAGTAGTGATGAGGTACAGTCAAGACACTCATTAGTCTAATAACATATGCAATATAATATATAAAAATAATAAAAAATAATAGCAGTGATAGCAACAATAATCAACTAGTGATGTAAATAGCAAGGCAGCAAGAACATCATAAATATTGCCCAAACGAATAATGAACACATTCACAACTAATTAATTAAGTCCTTCAAAATATACACCTTTTATCTACTAGTTTTTCGAATAAAAATCTTTGGAAGAAAATCCTTTCAATTAAATATCTTATATCATAATCAGAAATACGGGTCTCGGCCCCCCTTTCATATTATCACGGCACCTTGTGCCCATATCTCTATCACAATCGCACAGACAACTTCGTGTCAAATATATCAATACATAAAATCTGCACGATCAATTTATTTTCAATAAAGTAAGGTTACAATTTTTAAACCAAGTAAGAATTTAACAAAAAAGTGAGTTTATTTTAGAAATAGTTTGAGTGAAGAAATATGACATTTCAATTGAATTAAAGTATCAGATAAACTACTGATTTAGATGTAAAACTTATTAAATTAAAATATATTAGTAATTTTTGTTTATTTAAAATAACTCAATCATCAAGAACAAGTACAAACCAGAAATACAAATCCTCGGAGTCTCGTACCAAAAATCCAAAGTCAACACAATACTACAAGAAATATAAAATACTTAATATTAAGTCAAATAATACATCACGGAGAATACAGGAATTTACATATTACGGAAAAATAAAATAACCAAAGACAAGTGCAACCATAGAGAAATATCAACAAAAGGGCACTCCCGAGATATCGCCTCGTAGTCCCAAATCATAAATAACAACAACAATGGCCCTAGGCCATCAAAAGTCATCACAAATCAATCCCCGACATAGCCCATCTTGTCTCGCCGCGTGCGCAATAATAAATTAAATGTCCGCCTTGTCTCTTCGCACGCGCATGCCACATGCGCAAACCCACATATATAGCTCACCTTGTCACGCCGCATGTGCATATATCAATAGTAACAATAGTACGGCAGAAACCTCGTGCAAACACCCGAACAAACCTCCCAACAATATCACGTGCCAATATCACAACACCTCACAAATTGCACCTCGAGTGCTCAAATATTACAACTTGCCACAGAAATCAACAATACATTATTTTTCACAATAAGGAGCCCATGGCTCGACTATAATGTGCACAAAATCTAAACAAAAATATACGGGAGTGAACAACTCAACAGAATAATATTTCACAATTTAATATTTTACCTCAATATGATTTACGGCCTTTATAACTCAATACCAATTTCAACAACATGAACTGGAAAGTAATTCATCAAGGAACAATGCCTTCTTAAATCCAAATCTTAGATAATTATATTAACGCCTCAATTTAAACTTATTTAATTAATTATTTGCAGATGAAAAATTCATAATGTGATTATTTCCATGAAATATTAATTTAACCAACACACGAATTCATGTAAAAAGTCCAAGTGACCAAATTATCATATAAAATACAAACTCGACAAACAAGGAATGAGGCATGACAAATCAAGGATTTACTAAGTTCCAACAATTTTTCAATTTAATACATAAGGGCGTCTACGAATTTCAGCTGATATAATTTGCACATATAAACCAAGTACGTACTCGTCACCTCACGTACATGGTTTTCAATTATATAATTTTCACATAAGACTCAATGCCTAAGGGGTAATTCTCTCACTTAAGGTTAGGCAAGATACTGTCACGACCCCAAATTCCCTCTGTAGGATGTCGTGATGGCACTTAGTCTCTAAGACTATGAAAGCCTATCAATACGGAATAATAATAAATATCTGAAATAAATAAACTATAATTCAAACAATTTCAACTCCCAAAAACCGGTAGAAATAAGTCACAAGCTTCTAAGAATTTATTCTCTATATCTCTATACATCAGAGTCTAAAGCAAATAAGGAAAACAACATAGTAAGATAGAAGGGGACTCCGGAGTCTGCGGACGCTGGCAGATATACCTCGAAGTCTCCTCGTA